GTAGAGGGTGCACACATCTACGGAGGGACCAGAGCGTGGTATCAGGTGTCTTCATCAATCAACCTCATTTCCCATTGAATCTAGAGCTCACTGATTGGACCAGGTTGGCTGGCCAATGCAGTTTAGGGCTCCTCCTGTCTCCCCCTACACCTCTGACCCCCAGTTCTACAGTTACACATGTGTACCACAGAGCCTGGCTTTTACCTGAGTGCTGGAGATCTAAACTCAGCTCCTCAATGCCTGTGTGGCAGGCACTTCACTGACTGAACCGTCTCCCTGCCCCTCATTAGTTCTTAAAGGTGCCTAGAAATTCAAATTTGTTTTGCACAAAAGATTCCAGATATGGAACATGGTGTTTTACATTTGATATATTTTAATCTCTGACATACATTTCACTACAGTCTAAGAATAACACAGTTCAGTAGGAAAAAAAAAAAAATCATAGGATTTACATCAGACTTCAGTCCCTGCCTTCACCAATTCCAAACGAAATGATTTTGGACAAGGTGTTTATTAAATGTCAGTTTCCTAGTGCTGAAAATGAGAGTGAATAACCTTCAGCTGTGCAAAACAGCATATAATGCCTATGACTGAATAAAGTTTCTTCTTATCTTGAGGCTGCTAAAATGTTTTCAAATAAGCTTGTTAAAGTATGTTAAATGTGTTAATTCAAATTTATTATGAGGTTAACTTACAATGACCAAGTTCTAATGCATTATACTTTATCCATCATAATTATACTATGGATTATCTCTGTGTATCAAAATCAAGAATTTCATTTTAAAAATAATAACTGCCTCAGAAAACCACACAGCAGTAAAAGCTGCTCTGGAGTGGTTTCTGTTCCCAACAACCAGGTCACTTCAAATGAGCCTCTCAAAGCTCCTCACAAAAGCTGTCATTTAAAAAGAAAGTTTTCTGGGCCAGGCATGGTGGTGCACGCCTTTAATCCCAGCACTTGGAAGGCAGAGGCAGGTGGATCTTTGTGAGTTCGAGGCCAGCCTGGTCTACCTAGTGAGTTCTAGGAAAGCTGGGGCTACAAGGAGACCCTGTCTCAAAAAAGAAGAAAAAAAAAGAAGTTTTCTTTAAAAATTGTGTTTAATTTGTCGTTCTTTTTCAAGAGTAGGGACTCCCTTTGCAGCCCAGGCCGGCATGAAACTTGAGATGGACCCTCCTGCTCAACTTCCTAAGTCCTAGCCACCATACCTGGCTTTATTTTGAAGTCTTAAAATCAGGGTGAAGTCTTTAAAAATTGGCATTTTGTTTGTTTTCATAGTTTGGGGCTTACCATGCAGCACTGGCTGGTCTGGAACTCACCAGGTCAGGATGGTCTTCAGTCTTGGTGATGCTATTGCCTCTGCTCCCAAGTGCTGGGATTACAAGAATGTACCACCATACCTGGCTTGCTCTGAGGATTCTAGTGATGTTTTTTGTAGGAAAAAAAAAAAAAAAAATCTATCTAAAAGCTCACAAAATTTCAAAGAACCCTCAACAGCCAGCACAACCATGAATGAGAAAAACAAAACTAAAGGTCTCACACCTTCTGTCTTCAAAACATATTACAGCCAGGCATGGTGGTACACAGCTTTAATCTCAGCACTCAGGAGGCAGAGGAAAGTAGATCTGTGAGTCCCAAGCCAGTCTGGTTTATATAGCAAGTTCCAGGCCAATCAAGGCTATACACTGAGACCCTGACTCAAACCAAAAAAGCAGTAACAAACATCAAATTTGTATCATTTTAATACTCCAAAATATGGAACTTGAATGCAGACAGATATCTGAACCAGAAGAACAAGAAAAGTCTGGAAACAAACCCTCACATTGTGTGTATTTGGTCAAATGATTAACAAGGGTACCACACTGCTCAGTAGAAAAGGGTCACTCTCTACAATAAACGCTGGGAAAACTGGATAATCAAACAGGAAAGAATGACGCTAATGCATATAAAAATTAACGGGTGTGTTGGTGCCCAGCACTCAGGAGGCAGAGGCAGAGGCAGGGGCAGGCGTATCTCTGTGAGTTCCAGGTCAGCTTGGGCTACAGGGAGACTCTGTCTCAAAAAACAAAAAACAACAAAAAAAATTTTTAATTAAAAAAAAAATAACTCAAAATGGTTTAAAATCTAAAATTAATATAATTAATATTTAAATTATAAAACTTCTAGAAGAAAACAGAAAAAAAATGTCAATAGTTTCTTCAATATGAACAAAACACAGGCAACAGAAGTTAAAAAAAAAAAAAGAGGCTGAAATGGTGGCTAGGCCAGCCTGGTCTCCATGGTGTGTTCCAGGCCTGCTGAGGTTACAGGGAGTTTCTGTCTCAAAAAGACAAAAACAAACACCCACCAAGATTACACCAAACTTAAAAACTACAGAAGAAAGGAAACCATCAACAGAATGAAACCAATCTTGGATCAAAAGCTACACAATTTTACATAAGGATTTGAACATTCATTAATTTTGATGTTTGAGATGGAGGGGTCTTAGAACCAACTACCACAGAAAATAATGATCATATATCAATGAAGGCTCAGCACAAATGTTAATCAACAAAGTGTAAACCAAAAGTCAAAAAATCATCCCATGCCCATTAAGATAACCACTACTAAAACAGGGAAAACTTAAAATGATAGAAAATACACTGAGAAACTACATGCCTTGGGCATGACTGGTGGAGCTATAAACCAGTACGACTGTTGTGGCAAACAAAACAGATCTTAAAAAAATTGAGACAAGCACTTGGGAGGCAGAGGCAGGCAGGTCTCTGTGAGTTCGAGACCAGCCTGGTCTACATAGCGAGTTCTAGACCAGCTGGGGCTACAAGGAGACCCTGTTTCAGAAGCAACAACAACAAATTGACATGAAAGGGCTAGGGGCACAGCTCTGAGGTAGGCAGCATGTCTAGTAAATAAAGGCTCGAGTTCAATTCTAGCACCACAAAAATAAAAATTTTAAAAAGGCAAACACTGGTATAGTGTATTAGTGGCATGCAGGTGATGGGTGTAACCAACAGCTTTCAGCTCAGCTCTAAGAAGGAATTCATATCTGATACTATAAACCTCGTCAAAAGCCCACGGCTCAGGACATCACAGGCCCTAAGGAGGGCATGTGAACCTACTACTGTTCTTTTGCTAAATGAATATGTTGTTGAACTACCTTCTAAATATTTATGTCTATACCCATACACTCTTCTCAGTCCTGGCCAGAGAAGATTTTCTACAGTACGCAGCAATAGAGAGATGTGTAACAGGTCAAAATGCTCAGCCCTAAATGGGATATCTCTATCAACCCCTGTACCCCAAGGCTGAAGGAACATCTCAGAAAAGGGGACAGAAAGAATTTAAGAACCAGAGGATGCGTAAGAATTCTGTAAAATGCTTTCTTCTGGATATGACATGGCTACTGTACTCATGAACTCAGTACATTTATGTTACCTGCACAAGGTCAAGCCAGTAAGATCAGTCAACATTCCAGCAGGCAGCACTAACTGCATTCAATAGGCCACACACAGAAAAGAAGACAGGAAGGTGGGAGGGGGTGTGTTAGGGGATGTCTGGGAGGAGTAAAAGGAGGGAGGGTTAGGGGTAGGTCTATCAAGATGCATTGCATACATGTATGAAATTGTCAAAGAATAAATAAAAGATATTCTCAGAGCTAGAAAGGTGACTCAGCAGTTAAGGACTTGGTGCTCCTGCAGAGGACTGGACTTCAGATCCTGGCACCCACATCAGGTAGCACAATCACCTGTAACTTCAGCTCCAGGGGATATGATGCCCCCTTCTGTTCGCTGCAGGCACTTGCATACACGTGCATACAAGCAGATAGAAACAAACGAAATTCTTTTTTTTTTTTTTTTTGGTCTTTTTCAGACAGGATCTCCCTGTAGCCCCAGCTGGCCTGGAACTCAACAATGTAGACCAGGCTGGCCTTGAACTCACAGAGATCCGCCTGCCTCTGCCTCCTAAGTGCTGGGATTAAAGGCTATACTAAATCCTTTTAAAAAAGATGTTAAAAGAGAAATCCTGTCATATGCTGCAACATGAACGAAACTTGAGGACATAAGCTAGATGAGTCAGTCAGAAAAAGACAAAGTCTGCATGATTCAACTTTTATCAGTTACCTACAAGACAGTCAAAGGTGAGAGAAGTGGAAATGGAGAAAAGTCATTGGACAGTTTCACTTTTACAAGAAGTTCTAGGGCTCCACTGTACAACTTGCATACAGTTTATTCTTCTGTCGTACATAAGATGGTAAATTTTTATGTGCTTTTTAATACGATATTTTTTTTTTTGTCTTTTTTTTGAGACAGGGTCTCCTTGTAGCCCCAGCTGTCCTGGAACTCACTATGTAGACCAGGCTGGCCTGGAACTCACAAAGATCCACCTGCCTCTGCCTCCAGAGTGCTGGGATTAAAGGCGTGCACCACCACACCCAGCTTAATACAATTTTCTTTAATTAAAAAAACTCACACAGGCTGAGTGTGGTGGTGCACACCTTTGATCCCAGCACTTAGAAGGCAGAGGCAGGTGGATCTCTGTGAGTTCAAGGCCAGTCTAGTCTACATAGTGAGTTCCAGGCCAGCTGGGGCTACAGAGAGACCCTGTCTCAAAAAGACAAAAATAAATAATAAATAAATAAATAAAGTCACACAGAAATTCAAGGCCTAAGAGTTCAAAAGCATAAAACTATTTTCAATTAGACTTCCAAAGAGACATCTTTAAGGATGCTGACTTTGTATCTGGTGTAATCTTTTAGGTATGTTATTCCTGAACACTTCAAAATAGAGGAAAATGGATGCTAAATAGGCCAAGGTAATGAATTTTATTATACAAATTCTCATTCACACAATTGGTGTGATTTTTCTAAGAAGCTTAAAAATCAAGTGATTTAGGTTAATATGACAGAGTGCCAATAACCAGTAATCAAAAGTTACATTGGGAAATGAATTAATATTACTTGTATACACTGCAAGCCACGCTTGCGATGTGCTTCTATCCTTACCTTCATCAAAGTCAGCATCATCCTCCGTGTGCTGGGGGAACGGAAAGCAATTGGTAATTTCTAGGCGATCTTCTACAACCAGACCCAAAAGCACTCCTTGAACCACCTCAGTTCCTTGTCCTTCTTCTTGATAATGTTTGATTATCTTTAATACTACCTAAAAGAAAATACCAAAGAGAACTTAAAACCATTTCACATTTCCTTTATCTCTAAGAGAAAAAAAATAGCAACAACCCACAGTGGGTTCGCACAATCACAAAACCACATATTAGAACTAAACAAATGTTGTCTTACAAGCCATTTCTTTTAACCTTACATAAGTAATAAGGCTCTCATAAGGTTCCTGGATACTTAACTCTATACATGAGATCACTAAACCTATTAAAACAAAGTAAACAAGTCATGTTAAAAGTTATTTGAGCTTAATGTAGATTTTCAGAAGCAAGCTACGAATGATTCCTTGAGAACTATTATATATATGAAAAAAAGGAATACTAATGACGAGAATCTAGTATATTTTCACAAAAAAGTCAAGTCAAAATAGCCTTATTTCCTTTCACAAGCAATGGATGAAAGGGGCTGGAGAGATGGCTAAGCAGTTAAGAGTATTGGTTGCTCTTGCAGGGGACCCAGGTTTGATTCCCAACACTCAACATGGCAGCTAATAACTCTCCATAACTACAGTTCCAGGGGAATACAACACCCTAGTGACATGGCTGTACTTACATACATGTAGGCAATATACTTATACACATAAAAAAACAGTAATTTTTTTAAAAAGAATGAAAAAAATGTTACTAATGAATTTTAAAACAAGCAGTCACAGTTTTAGAAAGATTATATCACTCTTTCCAACATTCCTGAAATATTCTACTTAGTTCTTTACAGTGACCAAAGAAAAAACCAGTAATTGGACCCAAATGAGAGATGGGAAATGCAGTGGTTTAATGCTTTAAAAACAAAAATAAGGGCTGGAAAGATGGCTCAGCAGTTAAAAGCACTGACTGCTCTTGCAGAGGGCCTCAATTCAATTCCCAGCACACACATGGTGTCTACCATCTGTCTATATCCCAGTTCCAGGGGATCCCAATGCCCTCTTCTGACTACCACGGGCATTGCATGGCAACGGTGCACCAATCTATATGCAAGCATTACATTCATACACATAAAATAAAAATAGATAAAATTTTTTTAAAAGACCACCACCAACAACATAACAGGGCTGGAGAGATGGCTCAGTGGTTCGATTCCCAGCACCCACATGGTGACTAACAATCATCCATAACTCCAGTTCCAGAGGGCGGTCTCTTCTGTCCTATGAGGACACTGCACGACATGTGTGCGTTACTTGCACATATGCTGGCAAAACACTCGTACACACAATAAATAAAAATAATAATAAATATTTTTTTAAAAAAACATCATGAATAGGGTAATTATAGATGAGAAGACTTATAACCCTGTAGTGAGAACTAATAGAGTTCAATAAATTCATCTCTCTCCAGTAAAAGGCACTCATAAGGAAAGAATACCTTCCAAACCATGAAGGTATTAGAGATCAATTAGTCACACTTTGAAAGACAAACCTGGGAATCACTAATGTTAGTTTCAATAAATAAAATTACAATAAATATCTTTCTTGTCCAAAATAAAAATACAAGATTCAGTCACTGAAGTAATAAATTTATGATCATGTCATTTCAATATAATCTGATGAAACGAAGTCTTTAAGACCAAAACACCATTCTTACCAAACTTGAGCAGATTCATTCATCATTTTGAAATTTTATGGTCCTGTTTTCCTACTGCTGTGGTTTGAGCATGAATGTGCCCCAAGGCTTGGGTGGTTCAATGCTTGGTCCCCAGCATTTTGGGAGGTTCTGGGAACTTCAGGAGGCGGAGCCTGGTTGGAGAAAGCAGCTCCCTAGGGGCACACCTCCACATTTATGCCTCATCCCCAGTTCCTCCTTGCTGTGTTTCCCCTCCCCCATGAGGTAGACAATCTCCCCTGACACCATGACGATGCTTTCCCCAAGCACTGGGGCCATGTAACCATGGACTGAACTCTCTGAAACCATGAATCAAAATTAAAATTGCTAACTTTAAATTGTTTTCTCAGGCATCTGTCACAACAATGCAATGTAATTCACCTATATATGTTGTAAGTCCGTTGTGTTGCTGTGACAAAATGCCTGACTATAAAGAATTTTTAAAAGGGAGGAAAGATTTAGTTTAGCTTGACAGTTTCAAAGTCTATGGTAGGCTGGTTCCTTTGTTTCTGGGCTACAGTGCAAGGAAAGCATTATAGCAGAGAGGGTACAGTAGAGCTGAGTTACTCTGCCCCATAACAGCAGGGGAAGAGTTCAGAATCACCACAGACAAGATACAGCCTCTAAAAGCATCCCCAAACATGTATTTCCTCTTGTCAGGCCCTACCGCCAGAAGTTTCCACGACCATCAAATTATGAAGTTAACAGTGGATCTAACTGATAAAATCAGAACCCTCATCCCAAAGCCTCATCAGGCAGCAACTTAGCATTCAACACAAAAAGCACCTTTGGCAACACTTCATATCCAAACCACAAGAATATTAAACTCTTGGGGCTAAAGAGGTGGCTCAGCAGTTAAGAGCACTGGCTGCTCTTACAAAGGAGCCGGGTTAGATTCCCAGAACCCATATGACAGTAGCAATCGTAAGTAACTCCAGTTCCAGGGGATCTGATGTCCTCTTCTGACCTCCGCAGGCATTGCACAACACAGTGCACTTACACACATGCAGGCAATACACTCATACACATAAGAAATAATTTTTTAAAAAAGAATATTGAACTCTCAAATCTTCAAATACAGTGGAAAGGTTTTACAAACTTGGGGCTAGGGTGGGGGGAAAAATAGAAAAAAAAGAGGTGTTTCTCTTTGACTTTGATAAACTTCCCAAATCCTTAATTTATCCTGCTTCTAAACTGTTTCTTAAAATATTTGTCTATTTACTATTTTTACATCTAAGTGCCTACATGAAGTTTATGTGCACCACATGTGTACAGGAGCCCACAGAGGCAAGAAGGCAGCATCAGATCCCCTGAAACCAGGATTACAGATGGTTGTTAACCACTGTTAGTGCTGGGAACCAAACCCAGGTCCTTATAATCCTTATAAGCATCCTTTTAGGAAGTCAGTTATACTATTTTCCTATCTTACATAAGGAAACAGATAATCTGACTAGGAATCAGGAGGCAAACACTGACTTCCAAGTCCAAAGCTAGTTGCTTCACAGTAACTGAGAAATTTTCGGTGCTCTAACCATGTTTATAGCAAAGACCAGAGAGTGATGCAGCTCTAGCAGACATTCCTGAAGCTATTGCTACAGACTAAGAGATTCCCATACCAAGGACAAGCTTAGTGTAGGTCCCAAAGTCAGGCAACGGAAATCTGTGAAGTAATGGTGATGATGGTCAAATTATGCCTTGGTCACTGAAAGTCAAAAAATGACCAGCTGTCCCAAGAATGTAAGGCAGCTTTAAATCTTTAGCAACACTAATCTCACAAGTTGCAAGATGGGAATGTTTGCCCATAAAAATCCTGTTTTCAAGTCATGCTTTTCCTTCAACCAGCCATATGCTTCTGTCCATATAACAGTGCTGATATATTTATCCTGTTACTGATGTCATGCTCCCTGTTCTTCCTTTAAAAAGATACATGGAAGGCTTAATAGTTCTTCAAAACAAAAACATACTCCCATAATATGTTTTGTTTATATGTGTCACAATGACCCCACACACCCAGGAGATTTATATCACTTGTTCTCAGCTTAACAAAATGATCTGAGAAACTTTGTCAGGGTAAATAGAAAGGGGGTCCCAATACTGGGTACATATTAACAGTCATCTAGGGAGCCTTAAAATATACTTGTGCCCAGCCCCACTCTGTATTCAAAATTAGTTGATCTGGGATGGGTTCCTACACCGTTTGGGGAGTTTCAGGTTTCCAGGTGGCTCAGCACCTTACTTCATTCTAACTTTAATGAAGTACCATGATCCAGCCTTTGTTTGTCTTCATTTCTTTGCTTTAACGCCTCCAGGGATTGCAGTGCCCTTATGTTATAGGGCTTCCAAAGTCACAAAAATGGAAAGACAGTGAGAAATACAGACCTAAAAGCAAGCATTTTATTTATAAAAGCAAAAATATCATCCTCAATAAGTAAACTCAGCTCCACCTGAAAGGATCACTAGAGTACAGAAGCAAGCAGGAGGAGACCATCGGCAACCCTTATTAGAAGCATGCCAGTTTTCTGTAGTCCAGTAAGTTTTAGGGCTATACCTGACTAAGACAGAACCAGTGCTAGCCAGGATCCTATAATTACTGTAAATGAGGATTCTGATAAAAATTATTCTTCAGAGACTGAAGAGATGGTTCAGTGGTTAAGACCACTGGCTGCTCTTACAGAGGACCTAGGTTCAATTACCAGCACCCACATGGTGGCTAACAACCATTCATAACTCCAGCTCCAGGGGATCTGATGCTCTGTTCTGATCTCCTCAGGCACTTCAGGACACAGATGCACTTACACACATGCAGGCAATACATGCATACCCATAAAAAAAAAAATAACAAGCTATTGAAATAATTATTCTTCAAGGGCTAGAAGTAAACTGGAGAAACAATGTAACAAATCCTTCTATACATTCTGAGTTTGAGTGCTTAACCTACTAGATAATAGCCTGCAAACTAAGTACTGTTCTTTGAATAGGTCAGGTGTCACTAGAACCATCTTGGAGATTGGAGATTTCTATGGTTTGCATGACATCAAATAGTGTAAGGAACTGGACAAGCTGCAAAAACATCAATGGATGGCAAGTCTGCTCAGATGACCTTAAAGGAAATACCTTTTCTACTACTGCTCATTATTAATATACACTGTGAAACAGCAAAGCAATCTCTAATGTGCATAACTCTATTGTGCAATCTCTAATGAGGATAATATGATTATTTAAAGTGTCTGGATTCAAAAAGAAAAACAAAATAAAAAAACCTAACTTTCCTCTGAAGTCTAAAGCAGCAAATGGTTTAACTTCTAAGGTAGGTACAGTCTCAATAATATAAATACCAAGTCAAAATAGCCAAATAAATTGTTACACTAGCAATCAGTAATGCTTAAAT